CAATACCCTCAGTTGTCACTAACATTACTTGAAGTAAAAAACGCACCAAAGGGGGGGGGGGGAAGGAATAAACTACTGCTACATGCATCAACATGGATGAATTTCAAATGAATACTAATTAAAAGCCAGACTCAAAAAACTGTATGATCCCGTCTATAACTATATATCTATATCTATATATTTTGTGTGTGTGTAATTTTTTTTTTTTTTTTAAGAAAAGACCAAACTACATGGACAGGGAACAGATCAATGGTTGCTAGGGGTGAAGGTGGGTGAAGAGTTGACCTCACAGGGGCACAGGAGAAATTTTAGGGATAAGGAAACTCTTCTATATCTTGAATTTTTATGATAATTACACTTCTAGCTGCATTTGTCAAAACTCAGAACTGCACATTAAAAAGTGAATTTTATTGGGCCAGCAAGTGGCTCAGTTGGTTGGGCGCATGAGCTCTGAGCAACAGGGTCGCCAGTTCAATTCCCACATAAGCCAGCGAGCTGCTCCAGAGCTGAGCTGCCACTGAGCTGCCACGACGCCTCAGATGGTAAGAGCACATGCTTCTAAAAACAAGGTTGCCTGTTTGACTCCCACATGGGGTAGTGGGCTATGGCCACCTGCAACTAAGATTGAACACAGCACCTTGAACAGAGCTGCCCTGAATTGCTGACAGGCAGCCAGATGGCTCAGTAGTTAGAGCGTGCACTCTTAGCAACAAGATTTCCAGTTCGACTCCTGCATGGGATGGTGGGCTATGCCCACCCACCACTAAAACGGCACCTTGAGCTGACCAGCTGTGAGCTGCCAACAGGCTGCCGACTGGCGACTAGACTTGGAGCTGAGCTGGCTGCGCCCTCAACAACTAAGGTTGAAGGACAACAACTTGGCTGTTCCCCTTCCTTAATTCCCCAATAAAATCTTAAAAATAATAATAAATTTTATTATACATAAAAAATATACCTCAAAAAACTTGACTTAAAATAATGGTTTTTTCCACCAGAAGTTTCATCACAGTTTATACAAAACAGAGTACTAAAACATGCTATCTCCGTTTGTTGTGTTTCATTTAGGAAATTTTTCACTTTCCTAAGAGTGTCCCGTGGTTAACATTTTAATACCCTTGGCAGATCTGAGCGTTCCCAGATAGCCTCTCTTATCTCATTGCTCTAGCTACAAGGGTTTATCTCATTTGACTGTGTACACAGCCCAGTTCAGCAGGTATGACAGGCTTCTATAAAATATCTCCCTCACTCCTTTCCTTTCCTCATTGAAAGACATCTTTATTCATCTATTAATAGATGCTAAAGCCTCTAGGGCAGCTCTTCACCCTCAGAAAATTCTACCTTCTTGAAAGCAAGGAGGTTGGTAAACCGCGTAGATGAGGTGCACTGAGCACACTGGCCAATGGGAAGTCTGCTAGAGTGCTCTCATGGAAGACTTCCTAGCTCCTAAAAAAAGAGACATGTGTCTTGATGTGACAACAGGAACTTGCTATTCTGAGAGGAGCTGACCTGATGCTAAAGCTGTTACACTGAGACTGAAAGCAGAGACGTAGAAAAAAACTTAGGTCCTTGCAAACATTGTTGAGCAACCAATCACACCATTCCAGAACTGTCATTTCCTATAATTCTTATAAAGTAAAAAATTTTCCTATTATTTAAAATAGTTTAAGTCTGAGTTTTTTGAGATACTTGTAGTTGAAAACATACTACTAATACAAGGCCCTGCTCCCACTGCCTAAGACATAATAGCAAAGCTACACATGGCTCTCTTAAAAGTTTTCTTTGCCTGTGAAAAATAAAGTCTATTAGGAAAAAAAAATTTGTCCTCCTAGACAATCCTTCTTTTCCACCGTTTCCTTCTACTACTTCATGATTCTGGCGTCCCAAACAGAAGATGGAGTTTTTAGGCCTTTTGAGCTCTTTTGCTTGGCCCGCTCCAAACTCTTTGGAGTGTACTTTCTCTCTAATAATGGCCCTTGAGCCATTCGCTACTGCTCGGGCCCACTTCTGCTTCTTTGAAATGTATTTTTACTTCTAATAAACTGTCCTTTTTGGCAACTTAAAAAAAAAACCAAAACATGGAGTTTTAACAAATAGTTTCAACAGAAGGGATAAAACAAACGAATCCACAGTGACAGAAAGCAGATCAGTGGTTACCCAGGGATGGGGGTCAAAGGATAGAGGTAAAGAGGGTCATAAAGGGATACAAGGAAACTTTTAGGAGTTGATAGATATGTTTATTGTCTTGATTGTACGTATACATATGACAAAACTTATAAAATATTGTATACTACTTTAAATGAGTGCAGTTTATTATATATCAATTACACCTCAATATGGCTTATAAGTTGGGGATTTTTTTTTTAATTGGGGAATTGGGGGAGGGGAACAGTGTTGGGGAATTGGGGAGAGGGACCAGCCAAGTTGTTGTTCTTCAATCTTAGTTGAGGGTTCCAGTTACCATCTGGCTGCCTGTTGGCAGCTCATGGCCTCTAAGCTCAAGGTGTTGTGTTACAATCTTGGTTGCAAGTGGGCGTAGCCACCATCCCATGCGAGAGTCAAACCGGGTAGCCTTGTTGTTAAGAGCACACGCTCTATCCACTGAGCTGTTCCGGGCAGCAGCTCAGCTCAAAGTCCGAGTTCAGTCTTAGTTGCGGGTGGGTGTAGCCCACCATCGAAAAGGCAGTCTTATTAGGAGCACGTGCTCCCACCAGCTGAGCTATCCTGCAACCTGTTGGCAGCTCAGAGACAGCTCAGTTCAGGCACAGCATCACTGGCCCATGTGGGAATCAAACTGGCGGCCCTGTTGCTCAGCGCTCTTGCTCTTAAGCTAACTTTTAACCAACTGAGCCACTCGCCTGGCCTAAGTTGGGGATTTTAATAAATAGTTTTACTGAGTGGATTTCTGTTTCTGTGCAATCTAAAGAAACCTTTCCTGACCTTTCACACTCCAGGTAGGTTTGACTAGAATCCTCACTCAAACTTACTATGGCTGCAGGGTGAATTTTCAATGAGCCAATCACCAAACAGTTGGCAAGAAAGATTTTTATCCAATACCCACTTCCTCTTGTAAGCTATGCTAAAAATACATAGGTACATTAAAACTCCTTAAAATCCTGTACCTTCTCAAATCACACAATGTTCCTTTGGAATCCAAG